TCTCTCTCTCTCTCTCTCTTTCTTTCTTTCCTTCCTTCCTTCCTTCCTTCCTTCCTTCCTTCCTTCCTTCTTTCTCCCTGCTCTGTCTGTCTCTGTCTCTGTCTCTCTGTCTCTGTCTCTCTCTCTGTATGTGTCTCTCTGTCTCTGTCTCTGTCGGTTTGTCTCTCTTCCACCTTATCACAAGATAACTTTCTGAACTGGCTTCCAACAAGCAAATTCAGTGGGGAAAGTCAGTTTCACTTAGTGACCATTTCACTTACCTGCAGTGATTGGCTTAAGAACCATGGCAAATAAGGATTTACAATTGGCCCTGACTCACTTAACAACCACCTAATTTAGGAATGAAAATGCTGATTCCGATTGTTGTTATAAGTCCAAGAGTACCTGTAATGAGTTCAAGATTATACTAATCTCATTAAATCTAGTTCATTTTTAAAAGTTTTCCAGTGGAAATGATTTTGAATTGCTCTCTAAATGAAATTGCAATGTTCACCTGAATAGGCAATCCCACTTTTAATATTCTATATGAAAAATTAAAAGGATATTAAAATACCACTGAAATGTTTGCAGGGTGAGTAAGTGATTTTAAAAGATCAATGCTTTTCTCTATTTTATTGCAGTGCCATTCAGAGAGGCTCCCACTTACTCAAACAGACGACGGAAACCTCACAGCACTTTGGCCACACCTCGCCTCTTGCTTCGGTCTAATAGCGATAACAATTTGAACGTCAATCTTCCTAACTGGTCAGCCTCCCCTTTACCCTCTTCACACCGTAGCCTTTCGCCTCACCTATTCCAACAGATGCAGAATAATCCTAATGGAACTGTGAAAACTGTGGGAAGTTACACTTCATCATCTCGGAGCCGCTCTCCATCATTAAATAGGCTCGGAGAGGATGCAAAGCGCCAGCAGCAACAAAGGCACATCAGGTAACTTTGCACTGTTGGTCTTTTTAAAATGAGAATTTCTGCAATTCTGCTGTTATACCACCTCCTCTATGCCTTTAACCACTGCACCGAGCTGGCGCTGTGGTTAAATGCAGCACTGCAGGCTACTTCAGCTGACTGCAGTTCGGCTGTTCAAATCTCACTGGCTCAGGGTTGACTCAGCCTTCCATCCTTCCNGGGGGGGGGGGGGGGGGGGGGGGGGGGGGGACAGGGAGGCTGTTTTCACTCTTCCCAGGCTCCTATAAACCCTCTGGAACCTGGGGAGGGCAAAAAAAGCATGCAAAAAATGGGGGTGAGCGCCTGTAGTGCATGCATGTGCACTGGGGGGGGGTGTTGCACATTGCATTATGGGTGCGGCACGCCCGCACATGACCCTCCTGCTCTCCACCCACTTATGGCACGCGAGCCAAAAAAGGTTCACCATTGCTGGTGTAGAATGTTCCCCAGGTCAACAGCTTGTCCATTAAGCTAATGACTTATATTTTACTATACTGGCAAAGAGCCTTGGCAATTTCCAGAAAACACCTATTCAAATCTCACTTCTGTCACATGTGATATTTTCCTTTTGGGGTGGGGAGGGCTATGCAAATTGTTTGTGCCAACTGTAATGCAATAAGGGGTTAATAGTGTCCAACCTTATAGAGTTATTCAACCTGCCAAATCGCTGAAGGTGACTGTCGTCCATTTTTCTGCTCCAGATAAGGAAGGTGACTACAAAATAGAATTTTAAATGCTCGCACATCTGTGTAGTTGAAGATACACAGCTCTGTCGTATAATATTGACCTTTTATTAGCAATTTTTACAAGCTGCTAATAAAAATTCTCCCATCTTTTAATTAGAAATTTTTACATGGCTTATTGTATTAATATTTATAAACCCATTAAAAATTCTCTCATAAGAAGCATTAAGGAAAAAACCCTTTAGAATTGTTTTATTTATCTATGTTCAGGGGCCATTTAGGATTAATGGATTAATTTACCCATTTCAAACAAACATGGTATCCAGTTTTTTGTTTTACCGGTAGAGAATTTTTTTAAAAGGAGGAAGTTATACAAATTAAAACTCACGTATACAAAAGTCAAATTCTCTGCTAGTCCTTGCTAATTCTGTTGAACTGTTTTCTCATTAAATTTGAATGCTTCATTCATCAGTTATTTTTAGATCCACCACCAACAATATTCTTGGTTTAAAAACATCTATAAAAATGCCTATGATATAGATATAAAAGAAGCAACAAAATAAATACATGCAAGACAACCAATCAATAACCAGTGTCATTAACTCATACTCTCTAATACAATATAACTTGACGTTCTATCAGCTATTAAAAATAGTATCTAAAGCTGACTGAATTTCTGAAGTTGAAGCATCTTCAAGCCTCCATCTTTCTCATCTCCTGAAAATGGGGACCCACCAGAAAGTTCTCCTGGGATATAGGAGTCAGATGGATCAAAATGGAAGAAGATGGACTAGCAAATATTCTGGATCCAAGTCATGTAGAGCTTTGAAGGTTAAAACGAGCACTGAATTGCATTCCGGTTAATAAAGAATTAATGCAGGGCTCAGAGCACAGGCTACCAACAATAGGGCCATTCTGTTGACCATTCCCATGCAGTGGTCCAAATAGTGAATAAGGGCATTAGTTATAGACACAAGGCTCTCAGCTGCTGATCCAATAGCATCCATGAATCATGAACCTGCTCAACCTCTTGAGGATATTGTACCCTAATTACCCTCAAATCTCTCTATATAAAAGCAAAATGCCACTCACTCATCACAAAATTTCCAGAACCGTGAAGCCTACAAACTTGAAATTTGGCACATATGTTTTTCTTGGCTTCTAGGTGCTCGCTAAGAAAGGATTTTTCGAAATGACCATCANGGCTGAGTCAACCCTGAGCCGGTGAGATTTGAACCGCTGACCTGCTGATCTAGCAGTAGCCTGCAGTGCTGCATTTAACCACTGCGCCACCTTGGCTCACTCACCTTGGCAAACCAATCATCTTGGTTTACAGCCTTATAGCAGCTGGTCAGCTATTAAATCATCATTACCCTAACAGATTAGTCCAACTGGGAAGTGATTAAGTCATTAATAAATGTGAGTAGAACTTCCTGATCCAGGGATCAAGGGGGGGGGGGGGAATTGGCACAGAAGATGAATTTGTGCAAAGAGCCTCTTGTTCATGGTTGCCACTCCCAGTAGGTGGACTCGTAAAGACACAGTGAGCATCAGTAGCTCGTTGATGAAGAAGTGTGGTAATTACTCAGATGGAAAGAAAATAAAAAAGAAAAACTGATTGACAGGAAACACCCAGAAAGGAAGGACAAAGATGATGGTGATTGGGGTTAGGGATTGATTTAACACATCCACCAAGGGAATAATTTATTGATGGGAAAGCTCCCTCAATACTATCTTGTTTTATGAGAATGCTCCTGAGTTGCCAAATGTACATATCCCAGCAGTTGGGGTAATTCATTTGTCCAACTAGGTTACAATTCTTGTTAGAAGAACAGGATGCCCCAGTGGTGCAATTCAATTTTTTTTACTACCAGTTCTGTGGGCGTGGCTTGGTGGGCATGGCAGCAGAAGGATACTGCAAAATCTCCATTCCCACCCCACTTCAGGGAAATATATTGCAAAATCTCCATTCGCTCCCCACTCCTGGGGGAAAGATACTGCAAAATCCCCATTCCCTCCACACTCCTGGGAGAAGGTTAGTGCAAAATCTCCATTCCCTCCCCACTCCAGGGGAAGGATCCTGCAAATCTCCATTCCCACCCTGCTCCAAGGGAAGGATACTGCAAAATCTCCAATCCCACCCTACTCCTGGGGGAAGGATACTGCAAAATGTCCATTCCCACCCCACTCCTGGGGGAAAGGTTCTGCAAAATCTCCATTCCCTCCCCACTCCAGGGGAAGGATACTGCAAAATCTCCAATCCTACCCTACTCCTGGGGAAAGAGTACTGCAAAATCTCAATTCCCTCCCCACTCCTTGGGAAAGAATACTACAAAATCTCCATTCCTTCCCCACTCCTGGGGCAAGGATATTGCAAAATCTCCATTCCCACCTGACTCCAGGGGAAGGATATTTCAAAATCGCCATTCCTTCCCCACTCGGGCCAGCCAGCGGTGGTATTTGCCAGTTCTCTGAACTACTCAAAATTTCCACTACCGGTTCTCCAGAACATATCAGAACCTGCTGAATTTTACTCCTTATCCCTATAGCTCAGTGGGTTCTTTGGTATGAGGGCTGCATATTTATCTACCCACAACACAGGATTCTTCAATTTTTTTAAAATTTAGAGTTATATCCTGTGTATTAAGCTTAGATGTAGTATGGCTTGAACATTAAAGGAGGAGACGGGTTTTTTTTCTCCTGTCTTGCCTGTGGGGAGAACTATGAGTTTTATGAAAGTGCAAACAGGAAATCCTGTGCTTTCCTTTCACTAACTGTGGGACAATATTTGAATTTCAGTAGTCTGTATGTGCCAAAAAAAGGTGCATATGTTGTTTTTACAGTACTCATTGCTATAAAACCAGATTGAAGCGCAATAAAACCAGATTAAATTACAAGTAAATTTCCTGTGCAATGCCAAGTCTCCTTGGTTGATTCCACTTCTTGGGAAGCATAGAGCCTATATTTCAAAGTTTATGCTACCACATCTGAGCTGACTGATTATTGGATAAGACACAAGGTAGCTAAGAAACATTATTTTAGCGTTAGCTGAGCTATAAAATACCTGATTTCTCCCAGGTGTTTCAGTGAATACAATGTGTTGGAGAAGAGACCCTAGCTCCATTAAGCTTGTTTTACAGCTCTCTTTTTGGTGGAGCAGCTGAAAGGAAGGCACATTTACAACATAAATTGAGTGTAAAAGCCTACAGCTTTATTAAACGAAAAAGACAGAACTAGGAAACTAGCTATGTAAACTTCCTTCTGATAATTCCGTATGGTAAATGCTAGAACAGGCGCAGTGGTTAAATGCACCACTGCAGGCTACTTCAGCTGACTGCAGTTCTGCAGTTTGGCTGTTCAAATCTCACCGGCTCAGGGTTGACTCAGCCTTCCATCCTTCCGAGGTGGGTAAGATGAGGACCCAGATTGTTGTTGGGGGCAATATGCTGACTCTGTAAACCGCTTAGAGAGGGCTGAAAGCCCTATGAAGCGATATATATATATATATATATATATATATATGTGTGTGTGTGTGTGTGTGTGTGTGTGTGTGTGTGTGTGTGTGT